AAAATAATGGGTCTATAGGAATTATCTAAAGTACGTATATTACACAGTGAATCATTGCATTGTAATTTTTCCTCATAAAAATTAGTTCGCTCAGAAAACACAAATGGTGAAAAAGCCCAACAACCATTACTGGTCCAGCTAACATAATCATTGCATGATTTAATTGATTCATCAACTAGTGCACTACATGTAATATTAGAAATCTTAAGTTCTGAATCATATGAAATAGGAAATTCACTCGGATTATATGAATTACTCGTGTTATAGTATTCGTTCTCATTAGCGATGTTTAAATCTTTATTTAAATCTTTAAAAATATTACAGTAATTAGTTAAAATCTTTTTTAAATTAAGAAATAAATTTGTTAACTAAAATAATACCTGTAGGGCATATTGAAAAATCTAGTATAGTAGTTGTATAATATTAATGATAATTAAATTATTTTATAAATTAAAAATAAAAAAATATATAAAATATAATACCTGGAAATATTAAGGTTTGTGGATTACTAACAGAAATAGACAAATCTGACTGATAATTATCATATCGTATTTTTGGAAAAGAATAGTAGGAATACATTAAAATCAAAATAAAAAATAGTATTACGAGAATTAACCTAAATACTCTGAAACAGAATGGTTCAACTGAACGAGTTGGTCTAAATAATTCAAAAGGATCTAAATTAACCATTTTGCAATTTTAAAAAATTCTGTTTTGACTATTTATATTATATAATAAATATTCAGAGAAATTTTTGCACGGGTTATTTATCAATTATAGAAAGGTGTTTCATAATAAAAACCAAGATGTAGCTTATTATAGTTATATTAATATTAAATTTTTTAGGGATGTATTTTTGAAATTTTTAGAGTTAGGATTTTAGGGTTAGAGTTGAGTATAAGTATATCTAATGTACTTAAATAGGGACCCAACTTTCGGCATAATTCGCGATATTTATTATTTATAAAATATTATTTATGAATTTTTTTGATTGCAAATAAACTAAGGAATAAATTGATCAATTGATTAATTAAAGTTTCCAAACACTAATTTCGCAACATCAATTTATATCTATTATTTAAACCTGTAAAATTTATCAATAACACAACAATAAGTTATGAAATCCTCTCTTGAGATGTTAGTCGCAGTATCTTCGGTGATTTAAGGCTTTCTCAGCTGATGCATTCTGTTTAGTTGAGTCGATAAGTTCCCTTTATCACATAGTTTATTTAATTGAAACGAAATCAAATAATCACAGGAATAAATTTGGATTTAATGTATATATATATATATATATTATATGCTTCTCTCTTCCCTTAATATAATTTTTACAAATGTTGCAAATATTGTTTTTTGCGAGTGATG